TTGGCAGGGAAGTTATCATGGAGTGTTGGCAGGGAAGTTATCATGAAGTGTTGGCAGGGAAGTTATCATGGAGTGTTAGCAGGGAAGTTATCATTGAGTGTTGGCAGGGAAGTTATCATGAAGTGTTGGCAGGGAAGTTATCATTGAGTGTTGGCAGGGAAGTTATCATGAAGTGTTGGCAGGGAAGTTATCATGGAGTGTTGGCAGGGAAGTTATCATGGAGTGTTGGTAGGGAAGTTATCATGGAGTGTTGGCAGGGAAGTTATCATTGAGTGTTGGTAGGGAAGTTATCATGAAGTGTTGGCAGGGAAGTTATCATTGAGTGTTGGCAAGTAAGTTATCATTGAGTGTTGGCAGGGAAGTTATCATTGAGTGTTGGCAGGGAAGTTATCATGAAGTGTTGGCAGGGAAGTTATCATGAAGTGTTGGCAAGGAAGTTATCATTGAGTGTTGGCAAGGAAGTTATCATTGAGTGTTGGCAAGGAAGTTATCATTGAGTGTTGGCAAGGAAGTTATCAGAAAGGGTTGGCAGGGAAGTTATCAGGAATTATTGGCAGGGAAGTTATCAGGAATTATTGGCAGGGAAGTTATCAGGAAGTGTTATCAGGGAAGTTATCATGAATTGTTGGCAGGACGGTTATCATGAAATGTTGGCAGGGAAGTTAACATTGAGTGTTGGCAGGGAAGTTATCATGAAGTGTTGGCAGGGAAGTTATCATGAAGTGTTGGCAGGGAAGTTATCATGAAGTGTTGGCAGGGAAGTTATCATGAAGTGTTGGCAGGGAAGTTATCATGAAGTGTTGGCAGGGAAGTTATCATGAAGTGTTGGCAGGGAAGTTATCATGAATTGTTGGCAGGGAAGTTATCATGAAGTGTTGGCAGGGAAGTTATCATGAAGTGTTGGCAGGGAAGTTATCATTGAGTGCTGGCAGGGAAGTTATCATGAAGTGTTGGCAGGGAAGTTATCATGGAGTGTTGGCAGGGAAGTTATCATGAAGTGTTGGCAGGGAAGTTATCATGGAGTGTTAGCAGGGAAGTTATCATTGAGTGTTGGCAGGGAAGTTATCATGAAGTGTTGGCAGGGAAGTTATCATTGAGTGTTGGCAGGGAAGTTATCATGAAGTGTTGGCAGGGAAGTTATCATGGAGTGTTGGCAGGGAAGTTATCATGGAGTGTTGGTAGGGAAGTTATCATGGAGTGTTGGCAGGGAAGTTATCATTGAGTGTTGGTAGGGAAGTTATCATGAAGTGTTGGCAGGGAAGTTATCATGAGTGTTGGCAAGTAAGTTATCATTGAGTGTTGGCAGGGAAGTTATCATTGAGTGTTGGCAGGGAAGTTATCATGAAGTGTTGGCAGGGAAGTTATCATGAAGTGTTGGCAAGGAAGTTATCATTGAGTGTTGGCAAGGAAGTTATCATGAGTGTTGGCAAGGAAGTTATCATTGAGTGTTGGCAAGGAAGTTATCAGAAAGGGTTGGCAGGGAAGTTATCAGGAATTATTGGCAGGGAAGTTATCAGGAATTATTGGCAGGGAAGTTATCAGGAAGTGTTATCAGGGAAGTTATCATGAAGTGTTGGCAGGACGGTTATCATGAAATGTTGGCAGGGAAGTTAACATTGAGTGTTGGCAGGGAAGTTATCATGAAGTGTTGGCAGGGAAGTTATCATGAAGTGTTGGCAGGGAAGTTATCATGAAGTGTTGGCAGGGAAGTTATCATGAAGTGTTGGCAGGGAAGTTATCATGAAGTGTTGGCAGGGAAGTTATCATGAAGTGTTGGCAGGGAAGTTATCATGAATTGTTGGCAGGGAAGTTATCATGAAGTGTTGGCAGGGAAGTTATCATGAAGTGTTGGCAGGGAAGTTATCATTGAGTGCTGGCAGGGAAGTTATCATGAAGTGTTGGCAGGGAAGTTATCATGGAGTGTTGGCAGGGAAGTTATCATGAAGTGTTGGCAGGGAAGTTATCATGGAGTGTTAGCAGGGAAGTTATCATTGAGTGTTGGCAGGGAAGTTATCATGAAGTGTTGGCAGGGAAGTTATCATTGAGTGTTGGCAGGGAAGTTATCATGAAGTGTTGGCAGGGAAGTTATCATGAAGTGTTGGCAGGGAAGTTATCATGAAGTGTTGGCAGGGAAGTTATCATGAAGTGTTGGCAGGGAAGTTATCATGAAGTGTTGGCAGGGACGTTATCTTGAAGTGTTGGCAGGGAAGTTATCATGTAATGCTTGCAAAGAGTGGCTGGAGAGCTGCCCAACCGTGTATTTAGATGTACAGAGGGAGAGGGATAAGCTCCTGGGCTCCAACTTTGTTGGGTACTTGCACACGGTTATCTTGAGGTTATCTTGAGATGATTTCGGGCTTTTAGTGTCCCCCGCGGCCCGGTCCTCGACCAGGCCTCCACCCCCATTAAGCAGCCCGTGACAGCTGACTAACACCCAGGTACCTATTTTACTGCTAGGTAACCGGGGCATAGGGTGAAAGATATATCTGGTGCTGCTATATCTCACGACCTTTTAGTAAGTCATGGAGGCGGCTTCCACTGCCACTGTCATCATTGGGCTCCACTTGCCTGCCGCCCCGGCCTCTATGTGAAAATAATCTTGCGTCTCTTTCACGTTAGATCTAAGCGTCTCTTTCGATCTATGTTATGCATATATGCCTTCTTGAATGTTTTATCTCAGTAGCAACACATTCCCCATTCACCTTTCATGTTATCTTCGTTATCTAGTTCACAGTGATCATGTGTCCTGAAGCTCTTGTCTTTTCTGGCGTTCTAGGAATGAGTTCTAATACCTTATCTAATATCTAATGTTGCAACCCTCTCTATTTTCACTGTGCATTTCTGCTTCCCAAATTGCGAACCTCATGTCAGTGAACCATTTCCTTGCATGGCCTCTGTGTATTTGGAGGAATCACTCATACACTTTAATTGCCTTTTACATGTTTGTCAGTTTCGTGTAAGCTGTCGATGTTAACCTATTTATACGAGTCTCTGGCGGAAGATGTTATGCCACGACCAAATTATTCTCATTCCTATTACTGCTTTATGTTTGTCATGTTGAGTCCTTGTGTCATCATGTACTCTTTCGTAATAACCATTACCTTACACTTTCTACGACTGAACTCTAGCAGCTATCAGTTTGCCCGTTAATGCAACCTATTAAGGTCCTCCTTCAGCGTGTTTACATCCTCCTGTAGCGTATTTAATTCATTCTGCCGTAACTCACAATACATCCCGATCACTATCCTTCACATTAACTCTGCACCATCTACGAACATTGCAATACAGCAGCTTAACCCATCAGTTATACATGTTACTATCATGTATAAAGAAAAGTAGAGGTCTATTCTCATATTTCTACCATGACTGTTTTCCCTTTACCAGTAACGTCTCTGCGGAGTCGAGAATGTTTCCCGTCATCCCGGCCTCTTCCCTAGTCTTATTTACAAGCCTTTTTGATGTTGCATGAACTTGAAAGTGTTTAGGCAGTATAGGAGACACTAATTCATCCCTTTTCTGTTCGGACCCCTGACCGGAACAGTCCGCTGCCCCCACCCCTGACCAGCTGTCAAGGATGCTGACCCATGCAATCAGCTGACAAGGCGGCTGACTTATACAGTCTGCTGTCAAGGCTGCTGACCCCATACAATCAACTGACAAGGCTGCTGACCTATACAATCATCTGTAAAAGGCTGTTGACCCATACAATCAGCTGTCAAGACTGCTGACCCATACAATCAGCTGTCAAGGCTACTGAGCCATACAATCAGCTGTCAAGGCTACAGAGCCATACAATCAGCTGTCAAGGCTGCTGAGCCATACAATCAGCTGTCAAGGCTCCTAACCCATACAATCAGCTGTCAAGGCTGCTGAGCCATACAATCAGCTGTCAAGGCTGGTGAGCCATACAATCAGCTGTCAAGGCTGCTGAGCCATACAATCAGCTGTCAAGGCTGCTGACCCATACAATCAGCTGTCAAGGCTGCTGAGCCATACAATCAGCTGTCAAGGCTGCTGACCCATACAATCAGCTGTCAAGGCTGCTGACCCATACAATCAGCTGTCAAGGCTGCTGAGCCATACAATCAGCTGTCAAGGCTGCTGACCCATACAATCAGCTGCCAAGGCTGCTGACCCATACAATCAGCTGCCAAGGCTGCTGACCCATACAATCAGCTGCCAAGGCTGCTGACCCATACAATCAGCTGCCAAGGCTGCTGACCCATACACTCAGCTGCCAAGGATGCTGAGCCATACAATCAGCTGCCAAGGCTGCTGACCCATACAATCAGCTGCCAAGGCTGCTGACCCATACAATCAGCTGCCAAGGCTGCTGACCCATACAATCAGCTGTCAAGGCTGCTGAGCCATACAGTCAGCTGCCAAGGCTGCTGACCCATACAATCAGCTGTCAAGGCTGCTGAGCCATACAGTCAGCTGCGCCAGTCCCCCTCACCATAAACCCTACTGTTTCCCCTCATGTTAACAAGTATTGCTCTCATTCCTTGTGTTAAAAAAAGTACAAATCACTGTAAATTATCAAGGGTCGTTTCAGCAGATAATTCAGTGAAAAGTGACCTGCTGAAATGAGCTAACCATATAATGAGTCTACTTGTTGTGGTAATTATCTGAAATTATGCAAATTCCTTTACTACTCAACATAGTTTAGGAATATTGAGCACTCCATGAATACTTTGCTGAAAATCATGAAAATCCCAAATTTTTGTAATGCAAATTAAAAATTTGTAGGCTATATCTCACTTTCGAAATTTTAAAACAGCTTTTTACACAACAAACTTGATCCTGAATGAATTGCCTCGTTCTGCGTGTACAGGATTAGAGATTTCAGTAGTGGTTCCACTCCACACTCCAGGAGATGAGGTGTGAGGGCTCAAGTGAGCCCTCACACTTCCTCACACCAGAACGGGAAGTAAAGTTGGGATCAGCCATAATAAAGGCAGCAAAGACCTTCCTGGAATATTGAGTGAAGGGAATTCAGGTTAAACCCGAGATGAATGTAAGATGTGAGCGCTTGGCTGTTTACCATAAAATACGGAATAATTTGGGCGAAGGCGAGAGTTGGGTGGTTGTTGCTTGGTTGAAGTTGGTGTTGGATGGTTGAAGTTGGTGTTGGATGGTTGAAGTAGGTGTTGGCTGGTTGAAGTTGGTGTGGGATGGTTGAAGTAGGTGTTGGATGGTTGAAGTTGGTGTGGGATGGTTGAAGTTGGTGTTGGATGGTTGAAGTAGGTGTTGGATGGTTGAAGTTGGTGTTGGATGGTTGAAGTTGGTGTTGGCTGGTTGAAGTTGGTGTTGGATGGTTGAAGTTGGTGTTGGCTGGTTGAAGTTGGTGTTGGATGGTTGAAGTAGGTGTGGGATGGTTGAAGTTGGTGTTGGATGGTTGAAGTAGGTGTTGGATGGTTGAAGTTGGTGTTGGATGGTTGAAGTTGGTGTTGGCTGGTTGAAGTTGGTGTTGGATGGTTGAAGTTGGTGTTGGCTGGTTGAAGTTGGTGTTGGATGGTTGAAGTAGGTGTGGGATGGTTGAAGTTGGTGTTGGATGGTTGAAGTAGGTGTTGGATGGTTGAAGTTGGTGTTGGATGGTTGAAGTTGGTGTGGGATGGTTGAAGTTGGTGTTGGATGGTTGAAGTAGGTGTGGGATGGTTGAAGTAGGTGTGGGATGGTTGAAGTAGGTGTGGGATGGTTGAAGTAGGTGTGGGATGGTTGAAGTAGGTGTGGGATGGTTGAAGTTGGTGTGGGATGGTTGAAGTAGGTGTTGGATGGATGAAGTTGGTGTTGGATGGTTGAAGTTGGTGTGGGATGGTTGAAGTTGGTGTTGGATGGTTGAAGTAGGTGTGGGATGGTTGAAGTAGGTGTGGGATGGTTGAAGTAGATGTGGGATGGTTGAAGTTGGTGTTGGATGGTTGAAGTTGGTGTTGGATGGTTGAAGTTGGTGTTGGATGGTTGAAGTAGGTGTTGGATGGTTGAAGTAGGTGTGGGATGGTTGAAGTAGGTGTGGGATGGTTGAAGTTGGTGTGGGATGGTTGAAGTAGGTGTTGGATGGTTGAAGTTGGTGTTGGATGGTTGAAGTAGGTGTTGGATGGTTGAAGTTGGTGTTGGATGGTTGAAGTAGGTGTGGGATGTAAGGAGTGGTTGTTAAGTGGTAGTGCTGCTGGTGTATATCCCCACCTGGTCATATATATTCAGCATGCCAGTATCAAGATAGTTATCAGCAATATTCCTGCACCACACACCACATAGTGCTTCGTATATATATATATATATATATATATATATATATATATATATATATATATATATATATATATATATATATATATATATATATATATATAACAGAAAGAGTGAGATCAATGAGTCTAGCGCGAATTAGCTCTGTTTCTTATATTTTTCTTCCCTTGCAAAGGAAGTTAAAAGATTAACTCTCCAAAGTTCATTTTATACTTTTATTTAACCTGATGCTAAGAGATGGGTTTCGCTAACTCTTGTTAACATTTCAAAGGCAAAGTTTAAATCATTCCAAAGCGTTACTGCTGTCCATAGCCGGACATGAGGTGAAGGTGAAACATTTCACTTAGGGCAAAAATGCCCTTAGTGAGATGGGTATCTCACTACCATGTAATAACTCTAGCGCGACTTCCACTAAGACACGCTGGAAAATATGTGAATATTGGAAATCTTATGTGACTGCTTGTCTGGTAGTCTGTCTGTCAAGAGTTGGAGGGTCAGACGTTGGGGGCGAGGCTCACACAAATGTTTTTGAAGGACGGTCTGGGGGTACAGGACGGACACCGGCTGGTCAAGGTAGTTCTATGTTAAATCCTCTATAATATATTTGCGTTTACAAACAAACCCGGGCCATCTTCCCGGCAACCCGTTCTCGCAAATTCGTAAAGTCAATATTGACTTATTAATTACGTGCATAGGTGATATACTAAACATAATAGATACCCTTAAAAAGCTTCATAGAAAACACCGACCTTACCTAACCTTGTTAGTATCTTAAGATAAGCATCTTATTGCTTCGTAATTACAATTATTACTTAACCTATACCTATTATAGGTTAGGTAAGAATTGTAATTACGAAGCAATAAGATGCTTATCTTAACATACTAAGTAGGTTAGGTAAGGTCGGTGTTTTCTATGAAGCTTTTCAAGGGAAACTATTATGTTAAGTATGTCACCTATGCACATATTTAATAAGTCAATATTGACTTATTAAATTTGCGAGAACGGGTTGCTTCCCGGAGCCTGGTGTGAGAGTCACGTGTGAAATATATCGTGCGGTTACCGTAGAGTTTCTAGCCTTAAAATTATAATATTTCTCGGATACATTCAGTTGTTTTAGTGCTTCGTAAAACATGTTCTTGGATACATAGATGGATGGGTAAATGGATGCACAGATTGTTACATGGATAGATGCAAGGATAAATGGATGGACAAATAATTGGATACATAGATGGATAGATAGATGGACAGATTGACGGGTAAAAAGTTGGATAGGGGGATGGATAATTGGATAGATAGATGGATGGATAGACGAATAGATGGATACATGATAGAAACATATACAAATGGATAGATAGATACATAGTTGAATAAATAAAAGATGGATAGATCGATGAATAGTTATCCAGATATATGGATAGATAGCTGGATTGAAAAATAGATTACCAGATTGATGAATAAATAATTGTGTAGACAGATGGATACATAAATGGATAGATAGATGGATGGATACAAAGAAGGATGTCTGTGTCACAGTCCGTCGGTGTGTGTGTCTGTGTCACACTCCGTCGGTATGTGTCTGTGTCACAGTCCGTCGGTGTGTGTCTGTGTCACACTCCGTCGGTGTGTGTCTGTGTCACACTCCGTCGGTATGTGTCTGTGTCACAGTCCGTCGGTGTGTGTCTGTGTCACACTCCGTCGGTGTGTGTCTGTGTCACACTCCGTCGGTATGTGTCTGTGTGACAGTCCGTCGGTATGTGTCTGTGTCACAGTCCGTCGGTGTGTGTGTCTGTGTCACACTCCGTCGGTGTGTGTGTCTGTGTGACAGTCCGTCGGTGTGTGTCTGTGTCACAGTCCGTCGGTGTGTGTCTGTGTGACAGTCCGTCGGTATGTGTCTGTGTCACAGTCCGTCGGTGTGTGTGTCTGTGTCACACTCCGTCGGTGTGTGTGTCTGTGTGACAGTCCGTCGGTATGTGTCTGTGTCACACTCCGTCGGTGTGTGTGTCTGTGTGACAGTCCGTCGGTATGTGTCTGTGTCACAGTCCGTCGGTGTGTGTGTCTGTGTCACAGTCCGTCGGTGTGTGTCTGTGTCACAGTCCGTCGGTGTGTGTGTCTGTGTCACAGTCCGTCGGTGTGTGTGTCTGTGTCACAGTCTGTCGGTGTGTGTGTCTGTGTCACAGTCTGTCGGTGTGTGTGTCTGTGTCACAGTCCGTCGGTGTGTGTGTCTGTGTCACAGTCTGTCGGTGTGTGTGTCTGTGTCACAGTCCGTCGGTGTGTGTGTCTGTGTCACAGTCCGTCGGTGTGTGTGTCTGTGTCACAGTCTGTCGGTGTGTGTGTCTGTGTCACAGTCCGTCGGTGTGTGTGTCTGTGTCACAGTCCGTCGGTGTGTGTGTCTGTGTCACAGTCTGTCGGTGTGTGTGTTTCTGTGTCACAGTCCGTCGGTGTGTGTGTCTGTGTCACAGTCTGTCGGTGTGTGTGTCTGTGTCACAGTCTGTCGGTGTGTGTGTCTGTGTCACAGTCCGTCGGTGTGTGTGTCTGTGTCACAGTCCGTCGGTGTGTGTGTCTGTGTCACAGTCCGTCGGTATGTGTCTGTGTCACAGTCCGTCGGTGTGTGTCTGTGTCACAGTTCGTCGGTATGTGTCTGTGTCACAGTCCGTCGGTGTGTGTCTGTGTCACAGTCCGTCGGTGTGTGTCTGTGTCACAGTTCGTCGGTGTTTGTCTGTGTCACGTGTCGTCGGGGTCTGTGTCACGTGTCGTCGGAGTCTGTGTCACGTGTCGTCGGGGTCTGTGCCACGTGTCGTCCGAGTCTGTGTCACGTGTCGTCGGGGTCTGTGTCACGTGTCGTCGGAGTCTGTGTCACGTGTCGTCGGAGTCTGTATCACGTGTCGTCGGGGTCTGTGTCACGTGTCGTCGGGGGTCTGTCTGTGTCACGTGGCGTCGGGGTCTGTCTGTGTCACGTGTCGTCGGGGTCTGTCTGTGTCACGTGGCGTCGGGGTCTGTCTGTGTCACGTGTCGTCGTGGTCTGTCTGTGTCACGTGTCGACGGGGTCTGTCTGTGTCACGTGTCGTCGGGGTCTGTCTGTGTCACGTGTCGTCGTGGTCTGTGTCACGTGTCGTCGGGGTCTGTCTGTGTCCCGTGTCGTCGGGGTCTGTCTGTGTCCCGTGTCGACGGGGTCTGTGTCACGTGTCGACGGGGTCTGTGTCACGTGTCGTCGGGGTCTGTCTGTGTCCCGTGTCGTCGGGGTCTGTCTGTGTCACGTGTCGTCTGTGTCATGTGTCGTCGTAGCACAGTATCGTATCACTGTATCGATGAAAACTATTGTAGCACAGTATCGTAGCACAGTATCATAACACGGTATCGTAGCAGAGTATCGTAGTACAGTATCATAGTCCAGTATCGTAGCTCAGTATCATTGTACAGAATTGTAGACCAGTATCGTAGCTCAGTATCATTGTACAGACTTGTAGACCAGTATCGTAGCACAGTATCATTGTACAGCATCATTGTACAGTATTGTAGTCCAGTATCGTAGCTCAGTATCATTGTACAGAATTGTAGACCAGTATCGTAGCTCAGTATCATTGTACAGAATTGTAGACCAGTATCGTAGCACAGTATCATTGTACAGCATCATTGTACAGTATTGTAGTCCAGTATCGTAGCTCAGCATCATTGTACAGAATTGTAGACCAGTATCGTAGCTCAGTATCATTGTACAGCATCATTGTACAGTATTGTAGTCCAGTATCGTAGCTCAGTATCATTGTACAGAATTGTAGACCAGTATCGTAGCTCAGTATCATTGTACAGCATCATTGTACAGTATTGTAGTCCAGTATCGTAGCTCAGTATCATTGTACAGAATTGTAGACCAGTATCGTAGCACAGTATCATTGTACAGTATTGTAGTCCAGTATCGTAGCTCAGTATCATTGTACAGAATTGTAGACCAGTATCGTAGCACAGTATCATTGTACAGCATCATTGTACAGTATTGTAGACCAGTATCGTAGCTCAATATCATTGTTCAGTATCGTAGCGCAGTATCGTAGCACAGCATCATTGTGCAGTATTGTAGTCCAGTATCGTAGCACAGCATCATTGTACAGTATTGTAGTCCAGTATCGTAGCTCAATATCATTGTACAGTATCGTAGCGCAGTATCGTAGCTCAGTATCATTGTACAGTATTGTAGGCCAGTATCGTAGCGCACGACCCAACAATAATAGTCTCCACAAAGATTTAGTCAGCTCTCGAACCATTTGTTTCGTATATTCACGAAGGCCTGAGACGTCAAGCCAATGGAAAGTCACCTTTAGATTAGGCGCGTAATGGCTTAATCTGGGTTTCTTTTGAAATTAATTTTGCGTTTTCTTTGGTGGGTAATGCAAGCAGTTCCTGAGGCGAGGGGCGCCGGATACATGCAGGAAATGCTAATTCCGCGTGGGAGTCTCCTATACATTACCTCGGATACAAGGGTTCCGTTTCTTTTGTTATGTTCGGGTCAAGGACGAGTGAACGAGTCGGTCCAGACTCATTCATCCAGTACATTACCCTGGGCTTGTTTTCCAGAGGTGGGGTGTGTGTTTGTGTCTGAAGTTGGTGCATGTGCCAGAGGTGGGGTGTGTGTTTGTGTCTGAAGTTGGTGTATGTGCCAGAGGTGGGGTGTGTGTTTGTGTCTGAAATTGGTGCATGTGCCAGAGGTGGGGTGTGTGTTTGTGTCTGAAATTGGTGCATGTGCCAGAGGTGGGGTGTGTGTTTGTGTCTGAAATTGGTGCATGTGCCAGAGGTGGGGTGTGTGTTTGTGTCTGAAGTTGGTGTATGTGCCAGAGGTGGGGTGTGTGTTTGTGTCTGAAGTTGGTGCATGTGCCAGAGGTGGGGTGTGTGTTTGTGTCTGAAGTTGGTGTATGTGCCAGAGGTGGGGTGTGTGTTTGTGTCTGAAGTTGG